CAGAAAAGCAGAGAATACATGGTCATTAAATCACTAATTATTCAGCGTAGTTTACAAAATGGCCAAAAATATAATTAGCCATCAAAAAAAATAAAAAAAATATGCCTGTATGCCAATTGAAATAACGATGAGTAATTTTTTCCATTAGAAGTCGAACAATAAATGCTACAATTCTAATTAATTTAACCTTTCTGATGTAAAAATCGGACCCTCATGAATACGTTAAAATCTTTTACCGTGTGGGTAGTTTGTTTAGTCCAAATGTTACTTAAAGAGACACATTAGGAACCAGGATCAGTACAGCTTAATGTAGTGGTTCTGGGGCAAAGCGATTGTTCCTGCAGGCTCAGCAGTGCAAACACAGAGAAAAGACAGTGTTTACATTGCTGCCTAACACTACTTCTAGTGCTTGTCACCCTAAAAGTGAGTAGAGGGCTTCCTGGATATGGTCTTGCAAAGATTGCTGGACCAACATTCAGATTGTCCACACTCTTCATGAAAACACTGAGCATTGAGCATCGCATAGGGTGCCTCCCCTGAAGTAGATGGGGGGGATGATCCAAGTCACCTTCTTTCTCTTCAACAGCACTGCAGTTCATACATTTATTGTTTAAATAAATGTATGTACAACGAATGTAAAAAATATATATAAAATGTTGCTAGGCTACATGTTTGTCCCAAAGCACTACCTCGGAGACCCTCAAAAAATGTAAAGCAACAACATTAATAAAAATCCAAACAAAGTGGAAATCACAAAAGCAATCACAATGTGAAAAGCAGTATACATATATATATATAAATATATATATCTCTATTTTTTTTTAAATATTCTTTGTTTACCATTAAACCATAAATATTTATTCTCTTCAACTTGAGCCCAGCTCTTCATACTGCAGTGCTGTTGAAAGGAAAGGAGGTGACTTGAATCAGCCGCTCATCTACATCAGGGGAGGCACCATAAGGAGATATACCATTCTTCATCCCGTGAGTGTAACCCAACTAGCGCATTTTATACTTTTTATTACAGTGTTACAGTATTATTTATCTTTAGGTTTTCTTTAGATTTACAGCTGTATTGTCATTCTGTCGGTTGTACCTATATCTCTATGAAGAGATGCTGATTGTTACAGCTCAGTGATTGCTGCACATGCGCACTAGCCACCAAATTGGAGATAAGGTAAAGTAAAACACTTTGTAGCTCTCTAGTGAAAATACTTAAAAGTAATACTTTTTTGAGTTTGTTAGAGTAAAATTATGGTTTTGGCCAAGGCTTTACTTAATTTCATCACTTCTATTTATTACACATTTTGATTGCAGTGAGGCAGTCAAATAATAGCGCAGTTTGCGTCGAACATTGTATGTACAGAACAGAGGGGCTACCTACAGTCCTACTGCAGTCACAGAGATGGAACAAGGGGGAAGCCACATGAAATGTATTGTCGGTTTCCTCATGCATAAGACATACAACAATGTCCCCCATTACATGAAGTGATCAGCATGCACTGAGTCTCCCCACTTTCCCCAATGTTTTTTTATTGAAAAATGCTTATGGTCACTTAACCCCTTAAGGATGGAGCCAAATGTACACGTTGTGAACAAAACAAAATGTAAACAAAACCTGGCATTTGCGCTACATGTCTGTCCAACCGTAATTCACCTCTTTCATATTAAATGCACCCACCCTTATTATATATCATTTTATTCAGGGGAAACAGGGCTTTCATTTAATATCAAATATTTAGCTATGAAACATAATTTAATATGGAAAAAAATGGGAGAAAATAAGATTAATTTTTTTAGTTCTACATGACATTTTAACGGTCAATGTCATAATACTGTTTGCTTTTGCTGCAATAAAATACACATATTTGTATTCAGTAAAGTCTCACGTGTAAGACAGTACCCCCTATATACAGGTTTTATAGTGTTTTGGGAAGTTACAGGGTCAAATATAGCACGTTACATTTGAAATTGAAATTCGCCAGATTGGTTATGTTGCCTTTGAGACTGTATAGTAGCCCAGGAATGAAATTTACACCCACAATGGCATACCATTTGCAATAGTAGACAACCCAAGGTATTGCAAATGGGGTATGTCCAGTCTTTTTTAGTAGCCATTTGGTCGCAAACACTGGCCAAAGTTAGCGTTAGTATTTGTTTGTGTGTGAAAAATGCAAAAAATTCAGATTTTGGCCAGTGTTTGTGACTAAGTGGCTACTAAAAAAGACTGGACATACCCTGTTTGCAATACCTTGGGTTGTCTACTATTGCAAATGGTATGCCATCATAGGGGTAATTTTCATTCTTAGGCTACCATAGGGTCTCAAAGGCAACGTAACCTATCTGGCGAATTTTAATGTGAAAAAAATGAAACACAAGCCTTATATTTGACGCTGTAGCTTTTGAAAACACCATAAAACCTGTACATGAGGGGTACTGTTGTACTCAGGAGACTTCACTGAACACAAATATTTGTGTTTCAAAACAGTAAAAAGTATCGCAGCAATAATATCGTTCGTGTAAGTGCTGTTTGTGCGTGAAAAATGCAAAAAAGTCACTTTTACTGGCGATATCATCGTTGTAATACATTTTACTGTTTTGAAATACTAATATTTGTGTTCAACGAAGTCTCCCGAGTAGAACAGTACCCCCCATGTACAGGTTTTATGGTGTCTCGGAAAGTTATAGGGTTAAACATAGTGCTAGCAAATTAAATTCCCTTTACTTTCGGCATGGGTTGTCAGGCAGGTCCTGCTAATTGTAATTAATTAAGATACCTAATTATGTAAAAATATTACATAAATATATATGTATAATTAATATATGTATATATATACGTATGTGTATATATATGTATATATCTATATAATTTGTTTTAAATATTTTTATTTATATATAGGTATATATATAGTGATATATACGTATATATTTATGTATATAGATATATATATTATTTCGTTCTACGTGTATTTTGATATATATATATATATATATATATTTCACAAAACAGTTAGAACGAAATAACACACATCTATATATTTTTTAATTATTTATTTTTAATTATTTTTTAATTTTATTTTTTAACGTATTTACATATTTTTTTAATATTATATATAAATATATATATATAACAATAATTATATATATATTTAATCAGTATCAGTCTACGTAATTTGATATTAATATATATATATATATATATATATATATATATATATATAATTATATATATATTAATAGTAAAATACACCTAGACAGTGTACGTGTGTGTATGTATATGTGTATATATATATATATATACTTAGATCATATATATATAATATATATGATCTAAGTATATATATATATATATTTTTTTTTTACACTTTTAATTTATTTAATTTTATTTTCAGCCAGCAGGGGGACCACCTGTCATTACAGGCAGCCCCCCTGCTGGCAATGCAGGAGGCAGCTACCCCCGGCCATGTGATTGTGGGGTCCTCGCAAGGACCCCACTCTCACATGGCCGGGGAGCTTCCAGGACGTCGGACTTGCCACAGGGGGCTCCCTGGGAGTCCCCCCAACCGCGATCACCGGCGTGGGATTGCCGGCGACCGGGTAAGTAGAAAAGACCGGAAGGTGTACTATTATGCCGGCGGCGTTTAGAGCCGCTTAGAATAGGGCGTAATAGTATGCCCTCCGGTCTGAAGGGGTTAAACATGGTGCCAAAGAGATTGGATTCTTAGAAAGTGCCCATAATCACTATATAATACCCTCACCTTTGAGATGTCCAACAATAGCTGGATTGTTACTGCAATCAGTGAGACGGTAACATGCAGTGTACACTGGCGATATTAAAGATGTTAGAAAAGGTCAACAGTGGAAACAAATTTATAAAAGGTTGAACTTATTATTATTATTATTATTATTATTATTATTATTATAACTGGTATTTGTATAGAGCCAGCATATTCCGTAGCACTTTATAATATTATCAAAGGGGGAGATTTAACAATAAATGAGACAATTACAAAAACTTATAGAAACAACAGGTCCTATAAGCTTAAACGAGTTTACAGTCTGTAACTTGATGGACTATTCTCAATTTAAACTGTTATGCAAGGATTTAGCATTTTTGGTTTCTATTATCCTGTAGGGCTACAATGGATGCATGTGCTCATTCTGATGCACTCATTAAATTGTGAATTCCTTCCATGGCATAGAAGCTAGTTTAAATAGTTACTATGTTTTTTTTTTTTTAATTAGAAATAACATATAGGACATTACTGTTAGCTCTACATAGAGAGGCCTGTGATTAGATCATTTTTGTCCTGTTGGACAGAGTGGACTATTTACAGGAAGCTGAGCGAATCTTGGGGAATCCAGAGTACTATGAGATTTTAGGATCAGACCCTACCACATGTTTCAGAAGGGAACTGAGAGATCTTATAGAATCAGCATTCTTACATGAAGCCATTGATAAGAAAGAGAGGAATTTTTTTCTCTCAGCTCAAGGAGAGATCCCCATCTTTTATTACCTTCCTAAGGTGCATAAATCGCTTGATAAACCACCTGGTCGCCCTATTATATCTGGGCTAGGGTCTTTAATTGCACCAATTTCTAAATGGGTCGATTTCCATTTACAACGTTTTGTTCCACATCTACCGTCCTTCTTGAAGGATACTGGACATGTGTTGTCCATTGTCAAAGAGTTAGAGTGGAAGGAACACTATTGTTGGCTCACGATTGATGTGGCAGCCCTATATTCTAATATAGATCATGTTTTGGGTTTAAAAGCCCTGACCTGGTACTTGAATTCTGATCCCCTTCTTCCAGCTAAACAGTCTGAATTTGTTATCAGGTTTACTGAATTTATGTTGAAGCATAATTATTTTGAGTTTAATGGCAAGTTTTTTGTACAGACCAAAGGAACTGCGATGGGGGCGAGTTTCGCCCCGTCCTATGCCAATTTATTTATGGGCTACTGGGAACAAGTTACTATCTTTACTAACCAGTTTTGAATGGGGCGTCTCGCCCTCTATCGTAGGTTCATTGACGACATCCTCATTATTTGGAAGGGTAATTGGGGTGAAGTAGATGACTTTATGATGTCCATTAACAATAATCAGTGGGGCCTCTCTTTCACACATAAACAACATAAATCTACTATAGATTTTCTGGATCTCACCCTAATCGGGGTTGAGGGTAAAATTATCACCAAGACCTATCAGAAAAGTGTGGATGTTAATGGGTACCTACATGCCAGAAGTGGGCACCATCCCACGTGGATTCAAAATATCCCTTCAGGACAGTTCACCAGAATCAGACGTAACTGCTCATTTATGTGTGATTACGAAAAAGAGGCATTAATGCTTTCCCAGCGTTTTGTAGAGAAAGCTTATCCTCTGAGGATTATTCTGGAGGCCTATTTGAAAGGTCTCAAATTTGGGATAGTACCACGGTTAGAGGCTCATAATAATACTTTGCTTATGATGAACTCCTCTGTATTATCCTCATATAGAGGACAAGAACACCACTCTAGAGAACACTTTAAGATCCTTGAACTTCTAGGTGGGTCCTGTGGCCATTCTCTGAAAAAAGCAAAATTTAATATTAGCACCAAAGAGGTTGGCACAGGTAAAACACCTATATTCTCCACTACTTTTAATATAGGTTTTGATGAGATTATAGGAATTTTTGACAAATATTGGCCAATATTGACCAGTGACCCTTGGTTGTCATTTTGTATTGCAAAGGTCCCCAGGGTAACCTTCAGAAGGGCCCCCAACTTGAAAAACATTCTAGCTCCCTCGAAGCTGTATTATCAAAATGTAGGACACCAGAGAGTTCGCCAAGAGGCTGCAGTCAATAAGCGTTGTGGTCATGCTTAACTTGTGGATTTATCTGTCACCAACATTCCACGTTTAGCTCGTTTAATAGTACTGAGATCTTTTCTGTGCAGTCATTAATTACTTGCAACACTTCATTTGTGGTATATCTCCTCATTTGTCCCTGTGGACGGCAATATGTGGGCCAAACCATTAGACCCTTGAAATGTAGGTTTCGAGAACATAGGACAGCCATAATACGTAATGACAGTAGATCCCCGGTGGCCCGCCATTTTGCTGTTTTTCATGATAATAATCCTGTTGGTCTTAAACTAATGGGAATAGTACATATTCCCTCCCATCAGGATGAAGCTAAGAGAAAACGTGAATTAATTAAGGCTGAATCAGTGTGGATCTTTAAGCTAAATTCTATGTCACCTAATGGCTTGAATGAGGATTTAGAATTATTTTGATATACTACAGTTAATTGTTGTAGTTTATTTTAATATATATAAACAATATGTTGCTTTTTGGTGGGGGAGGGAGGGGTGCTATATTTGTGACACATATTGTGTTTTGTATTTGTTGCCTGACCTAAATATTAGGATTATTGGAATGTTCTTATATTTACTCTTTTTATATTTAATTTGTTTTATATTTTGATAAGATTTGTTATGTATACAGGGAGTGCAGAATTATTAGGCAAGTTGTATTTTTGAGGATTAATTTTATTATTGAACAACAACCATGTTCTCAATGAACCCAAAAAACTCATTAATATCAAAGCTGAATATTTTTGGAAGTAGTTTTTAGTTTGTTTTAGTTATAGCTATGTTAGGGGGATATCTGTGTGTGCAGGTGACTATTACTGTGCATAATTATTAGGCAACTTAACAAAAAACAAATATATACCCATTTCAATTATTTATTATTACCAGTGAAACCAATATAACATCTCAACATTCACAAATATACATTTCTGACATTCAAAAACAAAACAAAAACAAATCAGTGACCAATATAGCCACCTTTCTTTGCAAGGACACTCAAAAGCCTGCCATCCATGGATTCTGTCAGTGTTTTGATCTCTTCACCATCAACATTGCATGCAGCAGCAACCACAGCCTCCCAGACACTGTTCAGAGAGGTGTACTGTTTTCCCTCCTTGTAAATCTCACATTTGATGATGGACCATAGGTTCTCAATGGGGTTCGATCAGGTGAACAAGGAGGCCATGTCATTAGATTTTCTTCTTTTATTCCCTTTCATGCCAGCCACGCTGTGGAGTACTTGGACGCGTGTGATGGAGCATTGTCCTGCATGAAAATCATGTTTTTCTTGAAGGATGCAGACTTCTTCCTGTACCACTGCTTGAAGAAGGTGTCTTCCAGGAACTGGCAGTAGGACTGGGAGTTGAGCTTGACTCCATCCTCAACCCGAAAAGGCTAACAAGCTCATCTTTTGATGATACCAGCCCAAACCAGTACTCCACCTCCACCTTGCTGGCGTCTGAGTCGGACTGGAGCTCTCTGCCCTTTACCAATCCAGCCACGGGCCCATCCATCTGGCCCATCAAGACTCACTCTCATTTCATCAGTCCATAAAACCTTAGAAAAATCAGTCTTGAGATATTTCTTGGCCCAGTCTTGACCTTTTAGCTTGTGTGTCTTGTTCAGTGGTGGTCGTCTTTCAGCCTTTCTTACCTTGGCCATGTCTCTGAGTATTGCACACCTTGTGCTTTTGGGCACTCCAGTGATGTTGCAGCTCTGAAATATGGCCAAACTGGTGGCAAGTGGCATCGTGGCAGCTGCAGGCTTGACTTTTCTCAGTTCATGGGCAGTTATTTTGCGCCTTGGTTTTTCCACAAGCTTCTTGCGACCCTGTTGACTATTTTGAATGAAACGCTTGATTGTTCGATGATCACGCTTCAGAAGCTTTGCAATTTTAAGAGTGCTGCATCCCTCTGCAAGATATCTCACTATTTTTGACTTTTCTGAGCCTGTCAAGTCCTTCTTTTGACCCATTTTGCCAAAGGGAAGGAAGTTGCCTAATAATTATGCACACCTGATATAGGGTGTTGATGTCATTAGACCACACACCTTCTCATTACAGAGATGCACATCACCTAATATGCTTAATTGGTAGTAGGCTTTCGAGCCTATACAGCTTGGAGTAAGACAACATGCATAAAGAGGATGATGTGGTCAAAATACTCATTTGCCTAATAATTCTGCACTCCCTGTATGTAAGTGAATCCAATCCGGTTTTTATGATTGCTCCATTTGTGGGGTATATATATTGGGTTACTTCATACCGTAGTTCCTGTCTTGAAAAAGTCCCGTGGGAGGGACGAAACGCGTAGACGGGTGAATCAGATGAACCTACACCTGCTGTGATTGAGGAGTGAGAGCAGGAAGCGGTTTTGCACTTTGGCGGTCTTTCCTTTCCATCGGATGAACTTACCTGGTATTGTAGCTACTACGTGCTGCGGCGGTGAGTGTGTTCTGCATATATCGCGGTCTTTTTTGAAGATCCCGCCCGCGATATATTCCACCGCATTCTGAGGAGTCCTCTGTGTTATTTGCTGGACTTTACCATCTTTCCTTTTATATCATCACCGCCTTCAGCTCGTGTCCTTTTTTATATTTTTTACACGTCCTGTGTATGTACCTCGGTGGGGGGCCCACACCGAGGAAAGGTACTTTATATATACTTAGTTTAGTATCATTTGTTACAGTTATTATATTTGTATCCAGGTCTGGTAGGGATAATACTCTGACACTTTGTTATTTTTTACCTAGTGTCTGAGATAATCCCTTTAACCCATCTGTGCACTCTGCATTTTTGTATGATTATACTTGCTCTTTTTAAGGGATATATTGTTGTTTTTTATCTTAGCAGGTCTAGGTCATCTTTGATTTGGTTTTTTATGTCTGTTATTTATTATTTTTAATTTTTTTTTTATCTTTTGGAATGAAATATTGATTTATCGATTTGTTTATATTTTTCTAAATGCTTTATGATTAAAGAGCGCACACGCTTTGTTTAACTTTTGAGCTTATACTCATTTATAGTCGCTAGTGGATGTGTGTAGCTGCTCTTACTTTTATTATTATTTTTATTTTTTATATATATTGCACCTATTTTGTATATCTATTAGATCATTTTACCACACGCACACCCTCTGGACCGTCGAAAGGACCGTGGGAGGGAAAAGGGGAGGAAGGTGGGAGGGATATTTTAATTTAATTAAAAACAAAACATTTACGTGTTGAAGGCAGGCAGGAGGGAGTGCCCACAGGGTGGGAGGGAGGGGAAAGGTAGCTTCTCCATACAGGCGCTCTGCCTACAAGGGAAAATATTTTTATGTTTGTCGGCATCGTGCTGTGTGTGCTGATGACAGAACTAAAATAGCAGAGAATTGCCATTAGGCAGAGTTCAGGGCTGCCAATATTACATGTGCTGGGGCTGCAACTAGCCCCTAGCACACAATTAAAAATAACTCTGGATGTTCAGTGTTTAAAGCAGAAACACTGCACATACGGACTCCAACCACCATGACCACTTTAAATTCCGTGGACATGGTGGTTGGAGTAACCCTTTAACTCCTGTTTTTATTTGTTGGTGATGAATGGCTTAATATTTTTGACATGCCCAAATTGATGAATACATGAAATCTGATTTAAAAACTTGTCTAAAAGCTTCCCTCTAATTATTCTGTCATCTAGCCAATTCATACACCTGTATTGAGCAGGTTTAGGATTTATGTCAAAATGTATCAATTTTCAGTTTGATAATCTCTGCTAAGTACAAACTGGCTTTGGTCTGAGACCTAATTTTAGCTAAAAGTTTCAGCAATGACAGTTGTGTGGGTGTTTTTTTTGTTTTTTTTTTCAAGATGCCACTTGTATATTAAACTGAGAAAATCTGCAAAGTATCCACCTCAAGGAGTATATTTACAAATAGCCTTCTCTTTATAATGAGAGTACATCCGATGTAGTCCAGTACAATGTATAATCTGTACAATGTATGCAAAAGATCAATCGTACTGCACTGTTTCTCTCTGTTAGTTGGAAGCTCTCCTTCAAGACAGATCTCATTTCAAATACATACTGGGAATGGGTCAATAGATGTTTTAACATCAAAGCAAATTCTTAATATGAAGCATATAAAAATGTGAGATCTGAGTAATCTACCACTAATTCAATTTAATTAAAAACTGTAATGCAGTAACCCACAAGTAATTGACCTAAAGACTGAAAATATCTATTCTACAGTGGACTCCTCCACACTATTAAAGTATGTTAAAACACTTCGCATCTGCAGTAATATATTGCTAAAACGAGTTTCAGAAATATATTAGCTATAGTATATAGTAGTTATGGTACCAGATGCGCCCTTGTGCCTTTCTAGTGTAATAAGTCAACTGTTTAATAATGATAACAACTTACCTGGCATCTATTTTGGCCTTAAATTTGAAATTCACTTTGATTATACTTGAAATTCACAACAATTCTTTCTTTAGTGAAAAATATGGTTAACTTTTTATTCCAACCCTTACTATCTACTAAAGTAAGAATTCAAAGTGAATTCAAAATGAATTTCAAGTTAAAAGACAATGTAGCTGGAATGGTAGCTTAGCTGACTTAAAAAAATATTTCTAGTTCGGCTACTTTAGACTTAAAGGACCACTATAGGCACCCAGACCACTTCAGCTTAATGAAGTGGTCTGGGTGCCTGGTCCAGCTAGGGTTAACCCTTTTTTTATAAACATAGCAGTTTCAGAGAAACTGCTATGTTTATAAATAGGTTAATCCAGCTTCCAGTGGCTGTCTCTTGACAGCCGCTAGAGGCACTTGTGTGCTTCTCACTGTGAAAATCACAGTGAGAAGATGCAAGCGTCCATAGGAAAGCATTATGAATGCTTTCCTATGAGACTGGCTGAATGCGCGCGCAGCTCCTGCCACGCATGCGCATTCAGCCGAAGAGGAGGCGGAGAGGAGGAGGAGAGCTCCCCGCTTGGCGCTGGAGAAAGGTAAGATTTTAACCCCTTCCTCTCCCCA